AAAAAATTCAATTTTTTTTCAGCCTGTGGCTCTTATTTTTATTTTTCTTTCCTTTCCTCTGATGATCTGGTGGAATTCTCGAATTCTTGTCCAGCTTGACTGTGATTCACATTTTTGTTTAGCTCCTTGTGAAGAGATCAAACCTTTTCTGTCACTTTGGGGTGTTCCTCATGCAGAAAAATCAGATTTTTCAGAGCAAAGCCAGGGATACCTGGACTGATCATCACCACCAGGCACCACCTTTTGTGCATTTAAATATAAATTTGTCGTGTTTGGGTGGCAAATCCCCTCCAAAGAATATTTCACAACCAAATACAAAGTGGAAACAGTTATTTCACAGTTTTATAGGAGAAATAATATCCCAAGAAACATTTCAAAGTGCTTATAAATAGGAAGAAATAATTAAGAATAAATTAATAATACATAATGGATATAATATCAGATGAAGAAATCAGGAATTTTCTTTCAATTCTCATGGTTCAGGCCTCCAAAAAGTTGCTCTTATTCAGCAGAGTTCTGTAATGAAGATTTTTTTATATGAAGATTTAATGAAGATTTTTTATAATGAAGATTGTATGAATTTTAGGAATCTTTGATATCCTGAAATATCGAATATTTATATAGATATGTAACAATATATAACATATATATTTATATATAACAATATAGCAATATATAGTGATAAATAAATAATTATTTAACAAATTTAATATTGAAATCTCAAAATCCTCAGTGGAATGTATTGCTCACTATTGCTCATTTTTCATTTTAACTGATTCTTTTTCAGCTTGGAGTGAACAAGATGACCAGACCCACCTTCAATCTAATGCTTAACGAGGAAAAAGGTCAGGATTTTTTTATTTTTATTTCAATTCCCTGCCCCTCCTGTCAATTAATACATTAAAAATATTTCAGACGGGCCGTAGTGGTTTCACAGCATTTAAATAACAAAATAAAGGTGATGTTTTAATGGCAGGGAGAGTCAGAATATTTTGAAATTCAAAAATTCAGGAAAGAGCTGACTCAGAGCAGAAATAAAAGGAGAAGGAAAGGTCACGTATTCAAATCCTCCCAGAGATTGATTTARAAATGATTAAACTTGTAACTAATAAATCTCTGCTGGAGCAAGAAGGAAATATTTGGCATTTCAAAGGATTAAAACTGCTTTTTTTTTTCAAATATCCTTTAACTTTTGCATCTTTTTTTTTTAGAAAACAGAGAAAACTCTCTCGAATCAAATAGGAGGGCCGAATTCTGCAAATACTTATCCATTTAATTAGTGAGTAATTATCTGCTAATGGAGAGATTAATCAGGTTTGTAGCATCCCAGGCAGTCCAGACTCCAAAATTACTCCATTTCTGCCAGAGAAGGCAGGAGGGTTCACATTAAGGTGTCTGAAGAGCTGATTTTTATTGTCCCCGTATATTTTTTAATACCTGGAGCGTATTTTCATCAGGGAAATTGCTGAGCAGAGCTACGTAATTCCATAAACACTCAAAAAAAAGATCACTTGGAGAAAAAATTCCAAGGGGCTAAAAATAGTGCAGTCACATGATTACTACTTTGGCATAAAAACATAATTTATGGGTTTAATTTGCAATCCCACTACGGTTCTGACATTCTCCATGCAGGAACTCGGGCTGAATTATTCAAATTATTCAAATTATTCAAATTATTCAAGTGTTGCTCTGTCCTCAACTTCAGGTGTCCAATACAAAGGTTTGTGTGGTTTATTGAGGTTTCTGTGTTGAAAATACCAGAGGATGGGGTT